CCCATAAATTTTGTATTCTGCTATGGATCTGTTGACATTATCATGTTCCCCATTATATATTAACATAATACAAAGAATGAAAACCTTCCAAATTTGTTTATTGTAATATATAATGACACATTTGTTTATGTTAATGGTGAGCAATTAGTGTGAATTGCTAACTCAGAAATTTTTATTTGCAACTATGCGAGTAATATATTGATGGTTGATGATATTCATGCAATTATGAATGATGATAATTCATGCAATGATATTTCAATTCCATATTTAAATGTCAAAGTTTACTATTAGAAATTAAAATTTTGAGATTTTCTAACTTCTCACAAAGTTTCCTACTTTTATGGGATACTTACTATATTTATATTTATTTACCTTATTTTTAATTACTTAATAATTAAAATTCATGCTCAAGAGGCTTATACCTCCTACATTCTGAGTTACACTGCACCTCATGCCTTGGGATGGTGGAACACCTCACAAAATTGGTCTTCTAGAGTACAACCATCAAAGTCAAGTCTATATCACCTTTTTCTTTCTCAACAACAAACAAGTTGAGTCCATATCATTATCTTGGCTTCTTCAAATTTGCTGCACCAAACTTCTTCCAATAGTCCCATAAGGACATTACTTGCTACAACATTTCCAGCACCCAAGATGGGAAGCCCTTCAAATTCATACCTTCTTGAAACCAAATGAACTGAAGGTCATTTACTCAATGTTGGCCCCAGCCATCTGGGGTCTTGAGAAGTGTAAACAGGATTGTCCTAACCTTTGGCATTTTTCTTGCACAAAGTGGCTGCTCAAACTCAAACCCACATTCTCACATTTGCCAGAACAAGATTTACCATTATACCAAACAATGCCCCCCATGTGAAACCAAATGAGCTACCATTACAAATGTTAAGTTTACAAGGATATTCACTTCTAACTCTTCATTTTCAAAGATATTCCATTCCAAACACTCCCACATAATTGCAGCCTATGTTGATGTAGACAGAAGCAAGTGGGTATTTTGGCCTTTTGCCGAGTAAGAGTGAGGCAAAAGAGGAGGGCCATTTTGGTATGTAAGTGCACAATAAAAGTCCAGTTCAAATCAAGTTATTTATTGTTTTATTAGTATGTATGTCTCTCTATAAATGTGAGTAAAGAAATGTGTTAAAACTTAGTTATTAAGTCTTAGAAAGTGAAGTCAATTAACACAACTTTTGAATATTTTAGCTATTAAGGCTTGTATCTAAATCTATTATGTAGGTCTAGAAGCTATAAATACAGATGTTTGCAACAGTTGAAGGAAGATAATAAGAATTTGTCTTTCATTCAGTGAAAGCTTTCACTTGTTTTATTGGACACTAAAGATATAATTTTATTAAGAAAATTCAAAACAGGAATAATAAGCTTTGCAGCCAGAGAAAATACAAGGGGCCTCTGAGATATACAAATAAGCACTTCTCCAAATGGACCAAACCTCAAAAAAGATTAATAAAGAAAAAACAAACATTTAGTTCATGAGGGAGGAATCGAGGGTACAAAACTTAAAACTTCCTATTACACACTTCTTAACATCTGAAGCACCTTGTGTGACTAGAGCCCTTCCAAATTAAAAACATACCCAAACATTACCATCAAATCCAAAATATAGTTACAAACATCAAAACCCTAATATTTATAACAAAGAAGGTTCGAAATCCATCGAAACCTACTACTTAAGCCTTCTACCTCTACCTTTATCTCTAATACTTCTAAAAGAGCCAACAGTTGAAGCACCTACAAGATGGGCCTCCTTTCTACTCCCTTTTCACTGATCTATTCAGTCTCTAACTACAAGTTAAAACCCATCTCAAATTTTGTCACACTTTCTCACTCTGGATTGAGTTGGGATTTTGGTTTTACAAGAGGTTTGAGGGATAATTAGTGTGAGTCTCTTATCCGCTTGCTTGATGCTCTCAAGTCAGTTTTCTTCGTTCAATCCTTGGAGGACACTAGAGTGTGGTTTGCTTCTTTTGATGGCACCTTTACCTGTGCTTCTTTCTTCAATACCCTAGTATAAACTCATGTTGGGGGTGATAATTTCCCGGTGAAAGAGATTTGGAGCAAGCCCATTCCACCAAAAATTCAAGCTCTGTGTTGGGAGGTGTTTTTAGGGAAGGTAAATACTTGTGACATGCTTCAGAAAAGGAGGCCAAATAAATGCCTCTCCCCTCATATGTGCTCTCTTTGCTCTGCAGATGGTGAATCCCTACCCTATTTATCGATCCATTGCTCTTTTGTATTGTTTGTTTGGGAATCTCTTTGCTCTATCTTTGGCTGCAGGTGGAGTGCTCCCTAGGTAGGGGTGTCAACAGTATTTGAAAATCCAATTTCGAATTCGAGATTCGACATAACCGAATCGAATTCAGATAATTCGAATATCTAATCAGCCAAATTCGGATATGACCTGATTCAATTTGATAAATATCTGAATTCAACTGATTATTTAATTCTTATATATAATATATGAAATATTTAAATGTTTTATTTAATTTATTGGTGTGTTAGCTGGTTTGTTCCAACGTTGATGTGGAATCAAATCCTGTAACCAGCATTTTATGGAAAAGGGGTCAAGGGGAAGTTATTAATGGTGCATAGCATCAAATACCAAAAAAGAAAATGTTTTATATAATTTATATATAATAATTAAATTATATAAATAATTTATATATTTATATATTTTATATAAGTAAAATATTTATTATATTTATTGATTACCTAAAATAAGTAATTGATCGAATTGGAATCGAATCAAACATTTGAGTATTTAATCGAATTCGAATTTGAATATTAATTTTCAATATCCGTCGGATATCGAATTTTCTAATCGGATTCGAATTCGGATATTGTCTGATTCTATTCAAATTTGATCCATTTACACCCCTATCCCCAAGATGTAATAAGCCTCTTTAATCCAAACTTTCTAAGGCAGCCAACAAAAAGAGAAAGGGTGATGTGGAAATCAGCAAGGGTGGCAGTGGTGTGGACAATATGGGAGGAAAGGAATGCAAGAATGTTCAATGAGAAGCATAGGCCAAAAGAGGCCATTGTGGAGGCCATAAAGATAAAAGTTGCACACTGGCTAAAATCACTCTAGCTCTTTTAAATACCTCAATTACGGATATTGTAAGAGCATGGAATGAAGTGGCACACACTACAGAGAAGAAGGAAAGAGAAGTGGCGGAGTGGAAGCCTCTAGGCCCCAATAAGTTAAAGCTGAACTTTGATGGGAGCTCTATAGGAAATCCGGGTATGGCAGGCATTGGTGGTGCGTAGACCTGTTCATGTGTCGGGCCGGGCCAGGCTCGGGTCGGGCTTTTACTCATCATTAATGGAAATACGCTAGGCCCGAGCCCGAGCCTGACCCGACCAACGGGCCTATAACATGGGCCTGAGCCCGAGCCCGAAGCCGGACCTAATAAAAAAAATTACAATATTCCCTTCAAATTAGAATTAAAAATTCAGATGTTTTTTTTTTCCTATTTAAATGAACAATGGGCCTACAAGATTTTTTTTTCCCTTTCTTTTACGTTTTAAAACACAATTTTACATTCTTAAATCAAAAAATTTATTCAAATGGACATAATCACATAACCTATTTTAAGTCTAATTTTAGGTCGGGTTGGATCGGGCCGGGCTATTTTGACAAAACCCGAGCCCGGCTCGAATTTATTGCGGGCTGGGCTTTTTGGCCCGAGTTTAAGCCCGCGGGCCTATAAACATGTTCAAGCCCGTCCGGAGGCTGGGTTGGGCCGGCCCGTTGGGCCACCCGGCCCATGAACAGGTCTAGTGGTCCGACCAGGGACTCCTCAAGCAAAGTATTGGCTATGTATTGAGGACCTTTAGGGGAAGGTGACTCTTTAAAAGATGAACTTTTAGCTCTATTTGAAGGGCTAAAGATTGCTAACCCAAGCTGATTTTAAGAACTTGGAGATAGAAGGGGACTCAAAAACAGTGATACCTTGGACCAATTCACCCAGTAATGTTCCTTGGTACTACAAACATCTGTTAAGGGAGATAGTAAGCATAGAAAGGGAACTTAATGCCTCGTTTACATGGGTTAGGAGAACTGTAAATGGAATGGCTGATTCTCAAGCTAAACAGGGAGTTCAAAGACAACAGCTTTTTTGGGCTTTATTGTAAAATTTTCTGTTGAAATGTCTGTTGCGGTTGGACTCTATTATCTATTACATTAATTCAGGTGGTAATGCTCAATGTGGGTATGTAGGAGTTGGGACCTGTCTGATCCAAAAGTTTGGGAATACTGGGACTCAGATAATTAACTTATCTGTTGGTATGAATATTTTTCCATAATATACAATGGACAATTAGTATATTTCTAATCATGTAAGCAATCTATACTTAATATTTCAAATTCGGTCCATTGTGAATATCCATAAAAAGAAACACTTGTAACAAAGAAATGGACTTCTAACATGATGACTAAAAACTTCAAATAATGCACTGGAGAATTAGGTTGTAAGAGGTTAAAGGTCATAACTGGTCCAGAATAGCAATCATGAAGCCTCAACTTCTGAATTCAGTCCATTGTGAATATCCATAAAAAGAAACACTTGTAACAAACAAATGAACTTCTAACATGATAACTAAAAACTTCAAATAATGCACTGAAGAGGCACATCGTAAGAGGTTAAAGGTCATTACTAATCTGGAAATAGCATACATGCAAGTTTCAACTTCTGAATTCCAATCATAATATTTGTTTTTAACTGCATCAATTGATAATTAATGTTAAGCATGCGGATAATCAAGAGGATATGCTAACTTAGCATTGAAAATTTCTAACATCCAAATTCAACAAAAATATATCGGTTCAGTTTACATACCTAAGAGTTCTAGCCAAAACTAAATTCTGTCCAATATTAGCTATTTTATACTGTAGATATTAATTAGTTTTCAAGCTTTAACTTGGTTAATAACTTCCAAATATGATCATAGAGGTTTAGTCTTACCAGATTCTGCCAGTAGTGATACTGTTCTGTACACTTCTCCCTTCTCCAAGCATCAAGATCAAAGAAATTCATACCATATGCCCATCCACACGCCTTGGGATTAAACTTCTCTTTGATCAAAGGGTGCGAGAAATTCATATACTGGGCATAACGATGGAACGATCCAAAACAGGTCTCAACTGCCCCGTTTACCTTCCCATCCATATCAATCTTCCACAACCCCGTAAGATCCCTCTGAACAACGATATCGTCATCCAAAAACAATATCCTGTGCAACTTCGGATACATCTCTGGTAAATAAAATCTCAGGTGATTGAGCATCGAGAGATACTTTGGGTTCCTGAATTTCATGTTTGTTGTATCTTTGGTAGCGTTCTCAAGCTTGTTCTCAAAATAAAACCTCTGCAAGTTTGCAGATTCAAGCTGCCGGAGCACTGGAACGTAAGAAGAGTTCAAAAACTTGTAATCTTCCACTGCTTTCACCTCTATGTGAGCTCCCTTGTAATGTCTCATCTTGAACATGACTTGCATTGCCCCAAGATTCATCTTGTCAGTTACGACATGAAAAACGTGCTTCCACGGCTCTTTCGAATTCTTCACCGCCGAATTAACCACAACAGACGCAGCGACCACATTATCGGAAAAAATTGCATAGTGGTAAAGCTTAGCATCCTCCAGTTCCGGAGGAGGCGTCTTTCCTTCCTCCGAATACTTCTCTGGATTCTCAATTCGCTCTTGCATCAGCCGCATCGTGACACAATGCAAGCTCTTTGGGATGGATTTGGCAGCAATTAAACTCGAGAAAGCACCTTGCTTCTTCGCCTTAGTGAGGTGTTCGTTGACAGCAAAAATCGTGTCCTTAAGCTTCTGAATTTTCAGCTGGTTATCGAAGGACTCCTTGGACTCGGCAATCACCTGCCGCGTCACCTTGATCCGCTCCTTTACTTCCTTCTCGAATTGCCGAAGCACAGACTCGTCGATGGAAACGTCATCAGAGCTAAAAAGAGACCGATAGGACGGCCTGGACATGAGATCCGTGTAATTCCGAGCGAGATCGGCGAAACCCCTAACAAGCTTTGTGTTCTCGAGCTTAAGCTTGCGCGCGAATGAAGCGTAAGCAAGGGCGAGAGTTCTGTGGTCGTCGGCCTGCTTCCGAATCTGATCCACGCGTGGTTTCAGTGGATCGGATTTGACAGCAAGGACGGATCGCCGAGCAAATAGGCCGCCATTAAAACCAGAAGCCACGACGCCCTAATTCAAGCAGAAAAACAAGATTCAGTTACTTGAGAAGAACCAGAACAAAACAGAAAAGAGAAGGACTTGAAAGCGAACTACTTACCAGATCAGTCTCTGCTCTTGAATCAGAGGTTGAGGATAAGAAAGTAAAGGCAATAACGAAGAGAAATACTGAGACGGCAATGGCAAAGAGGAAGAGCCTGTTAGGGAAGAGTAAGCTTTGAGCGGCTCCTCCATTGTTTCTCTCTGAGATTGCTCGAGAGCTCCGAAGCGCTGCGTTCGCCATCTTTCCTTGTCTAGGGTTGAAATTCGAAAGAAGAAGCTATTAAGAGGGATTTCAGAGATCCATTAACAGTCGAAGTCTCGCTCGTTGTCAAGAGCGAAACTCGGGGGGTAGATCACAGAGTCACAGTAGAGACTGGAGACTGTCTACAACTATAATTAAAAGACAAAATAATCAAGCTTAAATCACGCTTTTATGCCTTCATAAAAAATCACTCTTTATAAAAAGAAACAAAAAACAGTGGGTATCTATCAGCATTCCTGAGCCTGAGGTTGTTTTATCAACGACTTGGATGGGCTCCCACGTAAGCTTCTATCATTAGAATTTTCAAATTAATTAACTTTTGCCACGTGGCAAGATAAATTCCTCTCTCATCCGTTTTCAGTGAAGATAATAAAAAGAGGTGCCCATTATAGAGGTTAGTGAGTGGGATATCGGCTGGTTAAAGGGGCTGTTGACCGTCTGGTTTGGTCATTTGTTGCAGTATGGAATAATGGAAAGATCTCGAATCAAATAAGAAATTAAATAAGTAAAATAGGGTTTGACCGTTTGAGAATGTTTTAAACCAAATCAAACCATTTTGAGATAGAAATCAAACCGAACCGTTGTATTACGATTTTATGCGTTTGGGCCATTCTATTTACTTTAATCTAATTAATCATATATGCTTGCATAAATAATAATTTTATGTTATTTATATAGAGGTATATGGTTTATAGTTTGATTTGGTTTTTAAAATACAGAAAACCAAATCGAATCGAACTGTAAAATCCCAAAACGAACCAAACCGTTTCTATGTCCAAGCAATATCATATTAAATTTCGGTTGGTTCGATTCGGTGATCTGGACTTTTTAACGAACACCCCTATTGGGCTTTATTGCCTTTGATTTTTATGAACCACCTATGACCTCTGCAATTTATTTTATTCCTATTATGTCCCTTAATCTGGCTCTTTCCCTCTCAGTCCATGAAAAAATATGAAAATAATCAATAGAGCAAATGTGTCGGTGTACATCTCTGAGATCTGAATTGCCAAAGCCAACGTAAGTGGGGAATTAAACTTTGAGAATGTTTGATTGGCTAGAATGGGCCTGGGGGTGACATATGCACATGCTTTGGAACCAAATTAAGTATGAATTTATTGTCGTATGACCACCCAATAAAACATGGACTACTGCATATTCTTAAATTATGGGTGGGTCTTGATGTTGACTTCGTTGTAACTTGTAAGGGATTTCTCCACAAGTCTACATTGTGTGCCAATGGGCCCTTTGTGCCCAATGACCCATTAATCCATTGACCAAGTCTAGTAGAATTGGGATTGTCTCCCCACAGAGCAGGGTAGGGATCTGCTACCAATCAAACGCTTCCCATACTGTTCCAACAAGCCACTACAACCGGGCAATGAGAACATCTCTTGTCATTCATGAGTAGATCTTTCCAATGTCCGGCTGTAATGGCAGGTTGGGACGTTGTTAAGATTGTGTTTTGGTAGTTTATCCAAATTCACCCACATGTGCACTATAACACTTCTCAATGTGCATTGGGAATATCTTTTTTACTTGTCATGGGGAGATATTCCTAATGTATGGTTGGGATGTATTGTTGGGCATGAATGGCGTGCATTAGCGAAATATGGATTTGGTTTAGTTTTTATATCATTTAATCCCTACATGTAGAGGTAATGGAGATCGAGGTGCTAGCTAAATGGCTCAAGCTAATATTCCCAAATATTTTCAAGATCCTTTGCAAGGAATCGATGGACCAATGATTAAGGCAAGAACAAAGAGGATGAAAGAGACTCTACAAGGTTTAATCATGGAAGTGCGTGACAAAGAGGTTGTTCTAGAAAATTCTAAGACTGTTCTAGCAGTTCCCAAAACTTCACCAAAGATAATCACCTATCTTTATGTGCAAGACGATGTACAAGGCTTAGAACTTGAAGAACAAAGCTTGATGGGCTTGGCGCATGGACATGATAAGAAAATGCCCAATTCGCATGCTAAGATGTATTGATGGGCTTGTTTTGTCTTGTTTTGTTTTACTTTGACTTTTCTATGCTTAGTTGTCATTAATTGTAGTCTTTTAGAAGGATTCCTATTTCAAAATAGATTTGTTCTCCTAAGTTAAAGGGATTCTCATCAGTTAGGTATTTCCTGATAAGATAATCATTAGTTAAGAGTTTCCTTATAAGATTAGGAGTTTCCTTATAAGATAATGATGTTTACATGCCTATATAAAGGCTGCAACTATGTAATACGATATCATCAATAATACAATGGTATTTTCAGCAAGCTTAGTTTTGCCTTCTTGTGTTCTTTGTAGAATACAATATCTTGACTTATCAAGGGAGTGATCAACCCTTGTGGCATCTTCAAGATTTGATTCTTTAATAGTTTCCTTAAGGTTCTAATCTGATCAGCTACAACTTGTTTTCTAGCTTCTGGGTGCGCATAACAACTTGATTCAAGAGTTCCTAGAGCAAGTCGTCTAGCGGGTTCTTATCATTTGGTATCAGAGCCTTGGTTCTAGAAATAGGTACTTATCCTTGTTTTGTGTTTTTCTTTGATCTTTGTGTGTTTCTTGTGTTGTCCTTGCATAGTTTCTTTGAATTCTTCCATTCAACTTCTTTGTGTTTTCGAAATAGAGTCAATTCTGTTTTTGTGTATTTAATTTGGCAAAAAAAAAAGAGAAGAAAAGAAGAAAAAAAAAAGATAAAGAAAAAAAAGAGACAAAAAAGAACATCCAATTCAAAAAAAAAAAAGAGAATGAGGAGTTAGATTGCAGATCTGATTTTTTTTAATCATTTTCCCAGCATGAATGGGATTTCTTGAATTGCAATATCATATTCCTATAAGTCATACGAGTTCTCCTTTTCTTTTTGGGTTTGACTAGTTCGCTAATTCAAGAGACAACTGTATAATCCATTTTGAACAAGGATTTCTTTTCCTTAAACAGCTGTCTTACTATATTAATTAGTACAAATCCTTATCAAATAAGGATTCTTGTGTCTAAATTAATTTAATTTCGTGCTCCATATTCTAGTGATTTTTTTTGCATGTCTTTTGCTTCCTTTTGAAGTTTTCTTTTTTTTTTGGTTCCTATAATTGTTTTTTCCTTCCTTATTTCTACTGTTTGCCTCAACTAAGTTTTTAAAGTTCTGATTTTGAGATTTGCCACCATCTAACTGATTGCTCCTTGAGATTTGTTGATCTTGATTCTGTTAAGAACATAAAGGGGGCTGGCCTGAGTGGAAAAAAAAAGGCAAAGAGATCTGAGATCGTGATAACCATATGATTTGAGTGCAAACACATGAGGGAGTGTGTGAGGAACAAAAAATAAATAAACAAAGAGAGGTGAGGAACAAAATTCTTTTATTTCCAGTGAGTTTTTCTAGATTATAACCATGAGTATTAAAGGAAAACCACAAGAGATTGACATGGAATTATTCATAAGGGCTGTTAATGAACAATTTAGAAAGTTGAATGCGAAGCTGGATGATTTGCAATCCTCATCTATTTCTAAGTCCACTAGAAGATGTGTGTTTGAGGAAGAAGAGGAAGATGATTCGGATTTGGATGAATCAAGTTCTAAACGAGGCAAGAATGCAGTTTCCAAAAGAGATAGCAATTTGGGCAACATAAAGATGAAGATTCCGACCTTTCAAGGAAAGAATGATCCCAAACTATACTTAGAGTGGGAAAGAAATGTTGAGCACGTATTTGATTTCCATCATTATTCCGAGGAGATTCTCCATGGATTACCTCCCTTAAGAGGTATTGAGCATCAAATAGACTTCATACCCGGTTCCGCCATACCAAATCGTGGAACTCTTGACATTTCAACTGGGAAATTGACATTTCAGCGGAACAACATGTGTGGTGCACCCGCATGGACAGTTGGTTGGCGTGATCTTGGTTTTGTACATACAAGTTTCCTAAGAGATTTATGGCCTAATTCAGAGTATACTTACAAGCTTGGTCATCGATTATTTAATGGCTCATACATTTGGAGCGAGATTCATTCTTTCAAGTCGTCCCCTTACCTTGGGCAGAATTCATTACAACAAATCATCATATTTGGAGACATGGGAAAGACAGAGTGTGATGGTTCTAATGAATATAACAATTACCAGCCAGGCTCGCATAATACCACATACCAGCTTATCAAGGACTTGAACAACATTAACATAGTTTTCCATATTGGAAATATGCTAATGAAGATCGAGGTGCTGGCCAAATGGCTCAAGCTAATATTCCCAAATATTCTCAAGATCCTTTGCAAGGAATCGGTGGACCAATGACTAGGGCAAGAACAAAGAGGATGAAAGAGACTCTACAAGGTTTAATCATGGAAGTGTGTGACAAAGAAGCTGTTCTAGAAGATTCTAAGACTGTTCTAGCAGATCCCAAAACTTCACCAAGGATAATCACCTATCTTTATGTGCAAGATGATGTACAAGACTTAGAACTTGAAGAACAAAGCTTGATGGGCTTGGCGCATGGACATGATAAGAAAATGCCCAATTCGCATCCTAAGATGTATTGATGGGCTTGTTTTGTCTTGTTTTGTTTTACTTTGACTTTTCTATGCTTAGTTGTCATTAGTTGTAGTCATTTAGAAGGATTCCTATTTCAAAACAGATTTGTTCTTCTAAATATCCTCATCAATTAGGTGTTTCCTGATAAGATAATAATTAGTTAAGAGTTTCCTTATAAGATAATGATGTTTACATGCCTATATAAAGGCTGCAACTATGTAATACGATATCATCAATAATACAGTGGTATTTTCAGCAAGCTTAGCTTTGCCTTCTTGTGTTCTTGGTAGAATACAATATCTTGACTTATCAAGGGAGTGATCAACCCTTGTGGCGTCTTCAAGATTGGATTCTTTAAGGACTTAATTTCCTTAAGGTTCTAATTTGATCAACTGCAACTTGTTTTCTAACTTCTGGGTGCGCATAACAACTTGATTCAAGAGTTCCTAGAGCAGGTCGTCTAGCGGGTTCTTATCAAGAGGTGTCAACGGTATTCGAAAATCCGATTTTGAATTTGAGATTCGACATAATCGAATTGAATTCGGATCATTCGGATATCTAACCGGTCGAATTTGGACATTCTATTCATACCAAATAGTTAATCGGATTCGAATTCGAATATGACT